GAACCTCAAAGGAATTAGTTGACATGCTTTTAAACATGCTTTTTAAATGTCACATGAGTTTTGGTAACAGGACTGAGAAAAATGTAACCATCTTCGGCTTAGAAACCTTGTAAAAGATTAGATAAAGCTGCCTGAGATTGACCAATACATAATTTGAATAGTGAAATATATGTATTAATAGATTCAGAGTTGAAAAAATATTTAAAAATAAGTTTAATTTGGAAGAGTTACAACAAGCAAATGGCACCCATTCGGTGGAATGGCCCATATATGAATGTATCTTCTTCAGATACATTCATCTAGTCCTGGTCAATTGCCTGTATGCTTTATTTTTTATTATTGTTTTTTTTTAAGCTGTATCTTACATGAGCAAGAAATGTCAAACACTTTCCTGTTATGCCCACAATCCTCAGTAAGACGTTCTCTGCTCAGAGAAAAAAAAATTAGTTTGATATGGGCATCCACTCTCACAAGAAAGCATTATGAATCGCTTTTAAAACCAACCATCCTGTTGAATGTAATATATATAGTTTATAGATCTCAGTTTATGTTGGAAATATCCAAATAGCCCTTTACTAATATAACTTAGATTTCATTATGTAAGAAATGGTTGCCTTTGAAGTTGTATTATTTAACTTAACCCATGCAGCGTCAGCACAGGTTAACCCTTCTGGGCCTGAATTCCATAATGTCCTGAAATTTTTATATACTCTGATTCCACCTCCTTCCTGTTTATCTACCATAAACTGTCTGTCTATAGATTCAAGAAGCCATACAGTAAATACATAAATACATACTGTACTTACTAAAAATATAAAGGAAATTGACATAATGACTGGGTGTGAGTATACTATACACAAGTACACACAGAAGGTATTGTTCAGCTCTTATTTACATTTATTGATTAAGCAGACACTCTTGTCCAAAACAGTGTATGAGTGAGAAAAGCTTGGGCTCAGGGAGTCACGCTAAAAAGTGTGCATAACTATCTATAAGATATTAAAATGTGGATGCCAGACAACTTTCTTCAACTAAATGAGAGCAAATCATAGTTGGTCCCCCAAACCATGTCTTAGATCTCACCAAATCCATTGGACACTTATCATCTGTGAAGGCACAAGTTAGGAATATATATATATATATATAAAATTAAAATAACGCACTTATTGCATTTGGCGTTTATACAACCATTTGTACACTTTTATTTGTGCTTATTGTATGTGACTGCTTACAGTATTATTACTGTACTTTGTCTTTTCATGTCATTTCAAGGGTCTAATTACTCGCACATGTCTTTTCCTGTATTAAAATAAAAGTACAAATGTGTGATATTTCTCCAGCGAAATTGTTGCAAAGACTAGACTGAATGTAATCAACAATGTAAAAACAGACCATACATAAATTCATACGTCCTGTAATAACTATTTTATTTGTGCTAATGTTATTATTGTTATTATACCTGTGGTTCAGTCACTTATACTCGTGCACAATATGCTTGCAAATATTTTAAAAACAAATTATCACAAGTATAGGCCTATATTTTTATATTAACATAATACAGTAATACTAAACAATAACACAAAAACCGACAAATAAAACACTTTTAAATTCAAATGCCTTCGAATTTATGTAAACGTTTTTTCTGCAGAAATGTGGGTTAAAGACTCCGGTTGCTGTATTAGTGTATTGATATGCGCTCTCAGCAACTCCCCGAGAGCCCGTTCAATGAACGAATCGAACTTACGGGTTTTCGGACACTCGGTGACTCAAAAGAACCTGTTCTACGAACGAATCGAACTTACGGGTTTTCGGACACTCGGTGACACTTAATTGGTCGGTGACTCAAACGAACGGTTCGCGAACCGATCACAAGAGCCCTCGCGGCGTTTACTGCGGAAAGGAATAAAATAAACGCCACTCTTCATCATTTATCACAGCAGTAAATTATTGCATTTCTGTACAATAAAACTGTATGTCTTTCATAAAAGAACAAACTAAGTTAATTATTAACTTTGACGTTTACACAACAACGTATGCAAGTTTACTCATGTTCATTGTATGTGTACTGTATGTGTATGTGTGATTGTATTGGTAATATTGCAGTTGTTGTTAACTGTGATGTAGTCCTTGATACTCATGCACATGAATTTGGTTTAAGTACAGAAAATAAGAAATATATATACACGCGTGTTTAATCAGCATCGACACCCTTTCTGCTTTTTATATAGGCCTATTGTTTTTTTTTATTGTGAATAGTCAAGCTGCACATTTTTGTTGAACACCAGCGCTATCTTTCAGTCAAATAACGTAACCTTGAGAAATTTATTATACGATCCCATGATTCGATCGTTGAGTCATATATGGTCAGGCGCAAAAAAAAGACGAAAAAAAAAAGTGAATCATAGAATCGGTTTTAGAATCGATTCATTGCAACGGACAGTTCGAAAGAATCGAATCAGTTAATTGGGCCGAACTTCCCATCACTAATACGTAGTCGGGGTTATTAATAGTCACGCATCTGCTCAGGTAAAGTTGGATTACTACATGTAGAATATAATAATCTATACCACAAGTGTGTCAGCTGAGGTGTGGCATGAGTAAATGGTGTCCTGTAGT